TGACATTCCTCACTTTCATTCAGAAATCATGTCCCCAATTACCACAGTGAGACCAAGAAGTTAGTTCTACCTTGTGACTGGAAAGAGTAGACAGGAAATAGTTGGCAGACAGCACTGGCACTACTTTCCCCTCTGTCAGTATACTGTTCATGACTCTTTAAAGACTTAAAGAGGCACATAATAGTGCTCCATTTGTAGCCTTCCTACTCATATAGCACTTGGATTCTCAACTATCAGTGTTCTCTCTGTTTTGAAGTTTATGCCAGAATTTCATAAGGAAATTTTATCTCTTCCTCTCACTATTGCTACTTCCTCATCTCCCACTTTAGACTTATTAGTAATGGCAAATCTAAGGTAATGTTTTAAGGAGGAGAGACGATATCTGATAACAAATTAAATTAAATTAAATTGGTAGTTCAAAACAAAAAGAACTTTTGGAACCCCAAAAAAGAAGAAAACACTTTTTAAAATAAGAACTTTATTTATTTATTTTAAATAGAGGTATTGGGGATTGAACCTAGGTTAAGTGTGCTTTTTATCACTGAGGTATACTCGCTGCCAAGAAGAAAACATTTAAACATTGTAACATAATGTGGAACGAGAATTCTGTGTATGTAAGATGACAACAGGAAAAAACAAAGAGTAGAGGATGAGTGGTGGCATTTCGTGAAGGTGTGCAGTATATATGCCAGGAATTATGCTGGAAGCTCTCCATGTACTATCTCTAATACGCATAGCTATTTTGCTGGTAATACTAGCAACTGCTTCAAAGGTAAATGGTAAAACAGTCAGACTTGGTTTCCTTTGACTTTGACATTGAAAGGAAAATGAAACATAATGCAAATAAATCATGAAATTAGGAGAAATCTATAGCTGATGGAAGACCTATAAAAGGGAACTATAGCAATAACAGACTTTATATATTAATCTGATTCTGAAGTTAAATAGGAATTTGGAATGTATATGTTTTCTTATTGTATATGCTTCTTGCTTACCAAAAGAGCAAAACAGATTAGAACAGATTTAATTAAAATTAGCATAATTCCAATTACAAAGTCATTTAAAGTTATATTTCTTGTTTGATGAAATATATGGATGTTTTCATATCTTTGTATGTAATTTAATTAAATTAATATAGATTTGATTAATCTAGTAGCCCAATTTTGATTCTCTTTGTGGAATCTATCATATTTAAAAAGATTTCTTCAAATGGAACTAAAATAAGTGTAGGGAAAAAAAATCTTTCTTGAAAATGATTTATTAATTCAAGCATTTATTTAAATTTTTATTTATTGGGTTCCTACTTTATGACCAGTGTAAGTTCAGTAGGACTCATTGCCTGGGCATAGAGAAAAATAATGTATATGAAATTATGCCTTGGGGTTCCTATTGGGCAAATCTGGGACAATATATACATGAAAATGATTAATTACAGTAAAGACTTATAAACCATTGGGGGGAAAAAGGAAGTCATGAGTCTATACCAGTGACTGACTGATGAAGATTTAAGGGTGAGGAGTAGATAGGGGAGAAGAGAGGGCTCTTGCTTACATAAGAAGGCCAAATGCCAGTTAGTAATGTACAGGGTATGCTGCCGTGGGAAAAAAATCAGCATTTTGCACACATCATAGGAAAGTCATGGATTAGGATGCTAAATCTAGGGGGAAGTTTTGATTAGGGACATATTTTTTGCATGGTTTTAAAATGTTTCTCTACAGATTACTTATTTGTTGTAAAGGAAAAATTAGTAATTAGTTTGTAATGTACTAGATAGTACATTGATCAATGATAAAAATTAACATCATCATTGAAAAGCAGGTGGACATCTTGTGCCTCCATCTGTCATACTCTAAGGACACATCATTGCTTGTATAATACTACAGCCAAGAGTGCATTCTCTGAATCGTAAATGTATGGAAACATCAAGCAAACCCCAAAAGAAGAACATTTTAATGAATAAAAGGAGGGGCTAGGAGGCAGCATTCTTTAAAAGTGTTATAGAGAAATGCTGTGGAAATGTTTCAGATTGAAGGAAGCTAAAGAAACGTGACAGCCAAATGCAATACCTGCCCATGGACAGGAAACTGTACTCGGGTGGGGGTAGGGGTTGCTATAGGACACTATTAGACCCAGTTGACAGACTAGGTTATGAGTGGTAGATTATAGAAATGTGTTACAGTAATGTTAACTGTATTGAAATTTATAACTGTACTGTGATGTTATGTAAGACAGTATCCCTATTCCTAGGAATTATTCACTTAAGTATTTAGAGGTAAAAGGCCATAATATTCATAATTTTCCCTGTGATGTCCTGAAAAATGTATATCTGAATATGTTTCTGTATAAATATATGTGTAAATATACGGATAAATATATGGAAAGAGAGTGAGCAAATTGTAAAGCATTTAGGATAAAATTTTAACAATGAACTTAGGTAAACTCTGTTTGAAGTTCTTTGTACTATTTTTATTCTTGCAATTTTTATAAGAGCTTGAACTTATTTCCAGATAAATAGTTTCAAAATTAAGAAAAATAGTTATATTCTAAATATGATAGGATTACATAAAAAGAAGCACAGAAAAATAGATCAGGGGACATAAACTTAGAAAACTAAGATGTAGGTAAACAGTTTGCATCCCTCTCAGCAACCAGTTGATATGTGCTGGCATCTGCTAAGTGCTAGATGCTGGCCCAGATAGCAGCTAACAACGGAGCTACCGAGTATGCTGTTTTAAAAATGGTACCATTTTAGCTGTTCTGTCTCAACTTACTGAGATGCAGTGCAAACTACTTATGCTTTAATATTTGTGCTATGTATAATGGTTTTCATCCCTTTTATTTATTTTAGCATATTAAGTTTTCCACAATTATAAAGGAAATTATTTGTATTTGTATGCTACATCTGATATAGTACCTTTAGAATGAGCCGTTAATCACACTTGCAGGAATAAATTTTCATTATAATCAAAAGAGAATCTTTATTGTTGTTATTTGTAGCACTGGATCTTTGGGTAGGATATATCCAATATATTAATATCATAATTTATAATAAATGTTCAAGATATAAATAATCTCATGGAAAAACCTAACTGAAAGCTAAATCAGATTTCATCCTTTTAAAATTAATTTTTCAACCACATGACTGATTTTTTTAAAGCATGACTTAATTTTTTTTTTGATATAAACAAGATTTTTATTAGTGAAGTAAAAAAAAAGTAGTGAAAGCTAGTACACTGCCGAGAATTGGGAGCGGGCCAATCCAAGAGAGGAAAAATGGCGTATGACTTAATTTTTTTATTTGAAATTTCACTAATACTTGTATGGTCATAAAGATATTAAAAAAAAGTCTTTGATAATGGTCTTAATAGAGTAGCAAGATCCAATAATCTAAGATGTTCTATTTGTAATTAAAATAAATACAGAAGTGTGATAATTCTGAAGACCTCTACACAGTGGAAATAGGCATAGACTTGGAAAGCACTGCAATAGCAAATGGTGCCTGATATGATTTCTAGTGAATCTGGATATTAGATCTAGATTTTAGAGCTCCTTATTCTTTCCATATTGGGTCCAGCTGTGCTTATCCCATTTGACTTACTGTGGTCAGTTGGCTCGTCTTTCTAGTTTTGAATAATTATAAGGAAGATTATTTCAGTAACTCAACTGAATATTGTCCAGATTATTAAGAAGAAGACATTATAATCTAATGCTTTATCAGTAGATAATATTTGGAATTTATGGAATTTCTATGTGGCTCTTCTTTAAATATTTTCCATTTTTGTTGACCTTATCTAACAGTGTTAAGAGCTTTTTCAGGGGATGAAAAAAATGTCTTTTTTTCCCAGTAGTCCATCAGTTGCTGATGTATCATTCTAACAGTAATCTTTATTCCCTAATCCCCACACCCACCATGCCCAACTCAGAGACTCATTTGAATTGAAATGTTCTTGGTAAAAATGCATGCTGTTTGTGTTGGCCATATCAAACTCTATAGAAATATTTCAGCCATCAAAACTACTGGAATTGTGTTTAAAAACAAAAATAATCCCAGCCCTCTGGATCTATATCCTTCAAATGGAAGAAGCCAGTGGTCTGGAGTCTTTGTGTCCAGCGAGAGTTTTGGAAACTGGCACAGAGTAGCCTGATTTCTGATGAATTTCAGTTGCAGTGTAGGAATAGCTATTTCCTTAGGTGTCAAATCAGCAGTACTACTAAACAGGTTCTTTTATAGATTGGAAATTTTAAATGGCTAGTTCCTTTTTCTATTTCCAATTGTTTGAAGACTTCACCTGGCTGCTGTGTGTGACTGTTAATCATTAAAAAATTTTTTTGCTTAATTCAAAAGAAAGAATGCTTTTTTCGTGAGCATTTAAATCATTGGCTAGACTTCCTTTTCTCCTGGTGATTTATTTTTCAGTACACAAATCAAAAGTAAAAAAGTAAATTAATTTTATAATTGTTTTTGTAACTGTGCCATGTCTACTTGTCCCTGATATAATTTGACATTAACTTCTTTTTAATGATAGACGAATCCTTAGTACTGTGGAAAAGAGCAGACAGAAATATAAACCAGCTTCTCTCACAGTGGAGTTTGTCCCTTTCTTTTATCGTAAGTAACAGCTATGATTTCTCTTCTTTGATTCTGATATTACTCTGATTGTTCTTTATTTTGATTGATTCTGACCTTGATTCAGCTCGTGTGTTTATAAGGTAAAGATTCTAAGAACCTGTCACTAGAGTACTTGGTTCATGTTTTGTTGTGGTTATTGTTCTTGGTTTTATTTAATTTACTATTCTTGAAGTGTTTTTCATTTGAGAAGAGCTGAGTGTTTTAATGACAGCAGTTTGTTTTAGAACTTCAGATTTTTTATTGAAAATAAACTTGAGAGAATTGGCCCTCATGTGTGTGACCTACCTATATGGACTCTGGTTTTCTTTCTTTAAAAAAGTGATTATGCCATATTTCATAATATAGAAAATTTTGCAGAATATAGAAGGAACGCCTAGTGTTTCCCATTCGTATTTGTGAGATCTTAACATTTTGCCATTTTACTATATTTGCTCCAGTTCTCTTTTTTTTTCCCCCTAAGAAATAAAATAAGACAGAAATAGTCCTTTTCAGGGCATTTGATCCTGTCTAAAATGTCCATAAGACATGTGGCCATGCCACAAGGTCCTTGAACTTTGGTCCTATCCAAAATGAGCATATTTGGTTCATGCCAAATGATTTTGGACAGGACCAAATATCAAGGACCTTTTCGTGTGGACTAAATATCTTACGGACATTTTGGACAGGGCCAAATGTCTGCTAGCCAAATAGTCCTTTGATTGCTTGAAAACAAGATTTCAGTGCCCACTTTGCTTGACTACTGGTAGTGATACTGGCTTTGGCTAGATAATCAAACTCCCATGTCCGCAATAGGAAACCCAGCATGCCAGCAGAACAGTGTAGGTGTTTCTGCTCAGGAGGAGATCCAACACCCTTCTAATGGCTTTTCTTGGGTTTTCCAGGTGAGGGTATGAGACCAAACTGATGGGTGTGTGAGCCACCCTGGCTTTGAAGTGCAGTAGCCCACAGAAGACATTTATACCTTGTAATAACCATGATTACTTCCAAATCCTGGGAAGGGAAATTCCCAGCTTACAAATGACACTGCAATCAGGGAAGCCCAAGGTTATGAGTTCCCATCAGGTATTTATAGTTATCATAGTCTTCCTAGTCCAGATCAAGGGCCATTTTTACCATAAGCAATGTTGTCTGGTAACATTTGTCACTGATTGTCCACATTGGTCAGATTTCCAATGATAAAATACTTGGTCCATTTTCTATAGAGAAGGAGAAGGGTTTTTTTTTTCCTACCCTTTGTTAACCATTATTCACAGTAGTGATAGATCTTTTGATTATAAAGATGTTTTTCCTTTTGCAAGTTTTCCTTGGGATGAGACTTTGGAATAGGGTGAATATCTTGTTTTTCAACAGTTTTCATCTAGTATTTTTGCATCCCTTGATAATCTTTGCCTGGATCAGTTATTTCATTGAGGGCTGAGGTATTGTGGCTTTCATATTCTATCCTTATACTTCTGTCAACTGATGTATTCTGTAAAAAAGAATTTTCCCGTATCAACTGGGGATAAATTACAACTTTTCCTAAAAAGGCTAGATAAAATACTTAAATCTTTCCCTGTTACTATCTGTTTTCAAAAGAAATTTAAATAATACTGACTTCTAGTGGGACAAATAAGTTTTATTATTCTCTTTTTTTGTGTATCACTGTGAATTCAGTGACTTTTATTTATTCAGTGTTTTACAGTTATAGTTTTTTAAGCTAAAATTTTTCCAAACTTGATCAGAGTATTTTCTCCTATTCAGTTTGCCTTTTTCATTTAATTAATAGTCTTTTAAAGCACAGAGGTTTTAAATCTTAATGGAATGTAATTTATAATTTTTTTCTTTTATGAGCTGTGGTTTTTGTGCCTTACCTAAGAAATCTTGCTTACCTCAAGGTCATGAAGATTTTCTTTTGTTTTCTCTCATTAGGTCAGTTATCTTTTTGAGTTAATATTTTCTGTCTAGCTTAAGATTTTCCATTATTGCTATGCAACATGTGTTGAAAAAGCTGTTCTTTCTTCCATTGAATTACCTTGGCACATTTGTCAAAAATCTGTTGACTGTAAAATGTGGGTTGATTTCTGGATTCTCTTTTTTGTTCCACATGTTTCCCTTTATGATGTTACTACACTGTATGATTATTGTGATTTTATATTAAGTCCTGGAGTCATTAAGCCCTCCAACTTTTTTCTTTTTATAATTGTTTTGGCTCTTCTGGATTCTTTGCATTTTCATATATGGTTTAGAATCCATTTTTCAATAGTGTTACAAAAAGTCCCTCTGGGGTTTTGATTGAGATTGTATCAAATCTGTGGAACCATTTGAGGAGAATTGCCACCTTAACTATATTGAAACTTTCAATTCATAAGTCTGATAGATCTCATTGTTTGTTTGTATGTTATTTATTTCTTCAGTCAGTATTTTGTAGTTTTTAGCATATAGACTGTACAAATATTTTGTTAATTTATCCCAAGGTGTTTATTCCAAGTTCTTGTAAAGCCTTTATAATAAACTATTGCAGATGAAAAAAAAAAAAGAGCTGGACATTCATGGCCTATTTTTGTTAGTGAAATGACCCTGTCTATCCATGGTAATATTCCTTGCCTTACCTTGATCATATTCCTTACCTGTTTTGTCATGTATTAATACAGTATCTGACACTCCAGCAATCTTATGATTCAAGTCTTTTTATATCCTTTATATATGTTTTCTTTGGGTCTCCTGTGACTGAATAGAACTCTGTTATCTGTGTGAAATCTGACAGTTAATTCAGTTTACAACTTCTTGGTGGGTTTTTCCTGTCTTTTGGGATTTTGTATTAATATTTGAATGTTGATACTTGGACTCCAGCTAAGTCACTTGTGTATTCCTGGGCTTCCTCTGTTCCGTATATCCTCACATATTCCAGCTGCCTAGGCCTCCCCATACTTTTTATCTGTCTACTAACTCAGCAAATAGCCACTTTCTTTAGGGGTTCCCCTTTCTGTGCAGTTGTTCAGGAAATGTCTAACGAAACAGAAGTAGAGGTGATCCTTGGGCTCACTTTGCTTTCATTCTCTTGTGTTTCACAACAGAAGGCAAATTTTTAGAACCTAAAAATCTCTAGAAATTATTTTGTCCAATTTTCTAGTCATTTATACAGGAAGCCATGTGTAGTGACAGTTATTCCGACATAGCTGGAATGACTTAATTTTTTTAATGTTAAATTTCTACCAATATATTTTAACTCACAGCTGTTTCTTTTTGGAAATGTTTCTTGTGTATAGGACTGGAAATAATTCTATTGTTATAGTCTTGTCTTGGTGTGTTATGATGTATGCAAAAAGATATTCATTATGGGATTATTAGCAGTGTCCAAAGAAGGTGGAAAGCATAAACCTTTATCAGTAGAGAACTGGTTAAATAAATTAAGTTACGTCATTGTAGTGGAATGCTCTCCAGTCATAAAAATGAATAAGGCAGATGTATATGTCAAGATGTAATAATGCATCTTAACATACATGCGTCATTCTTAATACATAATAAAAAATGTATTAAGTTAAAAACAAAAAAGCATGATGCAGTAGAATATGTAGAGCTTTTTTTTTAAGGTGTGGGGAGCAAGGAGGATTGAGGGAGACCTACTTTTTCTTGTCAGTTCTTTTATACTGTTCTAATTTTTCTTTCTCATGCACATATATAACCTTTTAAAAATAATAAAATTATAATATTAAAAGAAAGATTACTGTTGGTACCAGAACTTTAGAATACAGGCCCTGGAGTGGACTCAGGAAATCTTTTTGTCCAACTCTTTCAATTTTGTAATTGAACAATTATAGTCAATTATACTAATAAGAGGCAGTAATAATAGTAGTAGTAAAAAGGCATCTGATTTTATGTCAGATTTGGGATAATTTCTAGCTCTGTCACTTAGTAACCCTACGACTTTAGGCGGGATATTAAATTTTGACCTTCTATTTGCTCACTTACAAATAAGGGCAAACTATCATCCTCGTGTGGAGTATTATGAGAATTAAATGAGCTAACATAAAGTATCTAACATATTACCTGATAGATGGTTTCTCTTTTCCTTTCCTATAAAAGGGTGCATATCAACCTTGTTAACAAATTTTAGCCTTTCACAAAGATTTTAATTTTTCAGTGTCAGACATTCCTTAGAGATAAATCATAATGTGAAAGAGAAATCTTATTTATTTATTTTGTGTATTATATTTACAGAGTGTTTTCAAGAAAGTGAACATCTCAAGGAAAGTCTTAAATGTTGCTTATTGCATCTCTTTGGAGCCATTGTAGCTGGTGGGCAGGTGAGGAATGTGTTGAACGTTATACGATAGTAAACAGTGCAAAAAGCTTTCCATCGATTATTTAATGAATTATCTGTCTTTTTATAATTTCATGAACCATACAAACATTTTTCTGAGTTTAGATCTTGTTTAAAACTAATTTTGTTCTTTATTTATTAACTTCCCCAAACCTGAGTAATAATATTAGTACTAACAATAAAATTACTGCATAAATAACCAGATTTAACAGTTTTTGGTATTTTAAATTCTCAGTTGTGTTGACTTTCTGCTTCCAGTTCTTATTTTAGAATATAGAGGATAGTTAGCCGTATTAGTTCATTTCAAGACATATGAATTTAGTCACTCTTCTGTCTACTTATAATTACTAAATACATATGTACAAGATTTATATGCATTTTTTTCAAGAAACTCAGTTAGCTTTCAGTTATTTACAAGAAAGAAATTCTAGTAATGTTTATTTTTTTAAGTTGAACATCTTTAAAGCTGCCTGTGTTAAACTTTGAGTCTAGGTACTATTTGAAGACAGGATTATAGTCTAGAAAGAACATTCTACATGTTATCTTTAGCTACACAGTTTAGATCAGAGGTACTTTTTGTGCCCCTTTGGCAGTCTAATATAGCGCCTTGTCAGAATGTTTCCACATGCCTACAGTAAAATACATACGATCACAAAGGCAATTATGCTGAAATGCAGTTACTAAAATATTGATGAAACAAATTTGTATCATTGTAACGTGCTTCTTTATAACACATCAAATAGAAAATATAGCAGTAAGTCTAGTGATTAACATTATTTCAAACGAGATGAACATAAATGATGTTTCAAGATAGTACAACTATGCTGAACACTAGAATTTGACACATTGTAAAATGATTATAAATCAAGAAAAAATGTTTAAAAAAAGATAATACAACTATAATACATAATGAAAATGTGTATGATTTCTACTGATCACAGAATCACAGGTCTTGCTAATAGTATTACTTGGGTTTCCTAGTGGTCTACCTTGCCCTCTCCCCTTCACTCTATAGAGAGAGAAATGCTAACCAGAATCTTATTTTTCAGGTTGTTTGCTTTGTCATTTCCTTTATTGGCCGATATCCTTCTTTTGCTTTGGTACTTCCCCATTTCCATCATTTCTCCACTACTAAGAATAAGGATTAATAAGTGTACAGGAATAAAATTGGAAATGACATTGTTTTTAACTAATGGAGAAGCTGGCTGGATCATGTTCCCTTTTTGAACATACCCAGGCTTGTTCTTGTTAGTGCCTGGGAGTAATCAAGCCCTGAGAGACCTCTAGTAATTAAAACTCATGTGGAAATCAGGTAGATATTGGAAGGCCATTTTATTATTTTTATGTACTGAAAGTACTCAAAATTTTTATATTCAGTTTATAGCTATAGTTACAACTATATTGAAATCAGAAGCCTCAGCACAAGGGTATCTAGATGAACTGAATATCTAAAGACAAAAATGGCTTTGTCATAAAGAGTGAAAAATTGAAGTCCAGCGACTGGTCTCTCTTTCCAAAGCATCATGTCTGCACTGTCCATTAGCATATTTATTCTGTTTCCTGCTGTGTTAAGAGCAAGGGCTCTGGAGTCAGACTGACGTAGGTTTAAACCCTATGTCATTTCTAAATAGTTGTGTGACCTTGGATAAACTATTTACATGTGTTTTAGTCTCTCTGGTTATAATACGGAAATAGGAATACTTACAGGGTAGTAGGCATAAGGACCCAATGACATGTAGTATATGTAAAGCACTTAACTAAGTGCCTGCACTTGTAAGAATGAAGTAAATCACAGGTGTTTCAGATTTATGATTCCATGAAAATTGCAGTAAATACTAAAGTTCTGTCAGCTTAAGTTAGAAGCTTACTTTTTTCTCTTGTTAAAAAAATAGCAGTATTCAGTTCATCTGGTGGCTCTAGGATCTTCAAGGATTCAGTTTCCTTTTGAATGTCAATTTTGTTATCCTTACTATTATTTCTTGTGGTACAAAATAGCTTCCAGAGTTCTGGTAATCCTGTCTGCATTTTGGGCACAAAGATGGAGGGCGAGATGAAGAAGGAGACAAATGGCATGTGCCAGTTATCTTTCAAGGAGATACTGAAAAGCTGACATTTGATGTCTTTTTTAATCTCATTTCGAGACCATCAGGTAGCTGCAAAGATGCAAATATGTTCAGATAAAAAATTTGATAAAACTTAATACCTCAGCTTCCTTAGCAGCAAGGGAGGTTAGGAATGTAATCTTTATTCCTGGTGGCCATGTGTCCAGCAAAACATCAGGGGTTCTGTTAATAAGGAAGGGGAGGAAAATTTATGTTGGATGGGCCATCAGCAGTCTTCCCTGGTAAGACTTGTTATTTTTGGTATTATTTATTACACTGATAATAACAAGTCCAAATGGCCTAAGTATTATTATTTAAGATGATTTTACATAATTATATTCTGATTTATTATATGTCAGTTTAACAGTTTAGGGCAATGTATATTGTTTATTTCAAGTTTAATGAATCACCTCAAATAACTACCAGTTACTTAGAATTTCAGAAATATGTTTGTAGAATCAGAACCCAGCCAGTCCTCTTCTGTGTCTGTATCATTTAGAATAAAATGATATGAATGATACATGTCATTTGCTGAAAACAGAAAACCTGAGAGAGGCTTAGGCAAAATTGATGAGTTTATTTGTATTTTTGCATAAGAAATCCAGGTGTAGGCAGTTCTGGGATGGCACTGCAGCTCAGTGATATCATCAAAGACTAGGGTCCTTCATTGTTCCTCTTCTGCTCAGTAGCCTTCTCTTTTAATTCTGGGACTTGTTTCCTCATGACATGATGGCTCCAGGCTTCTTGTCTGCATTCCAGGCAGGAAACAAGGTGAAAGGGCCAAGAGCACAGGGTCCTTCCCTTTTTTATTTGTAAAGTGATATCCTCTTTATAGTTTACTGGCATATATTCTTGACCAGAACTATGTCACATGGCTGTCCCTAGCTACAAGGGAGGGTGGTAAGTAAGTTTTCTACATGGACAGATTACCAGTTGTAAAAAAATCTGAATTTTATTAGTGAAGAAATGAAGACCTAATATGTGTAAAACACTAGCAATGTCTGTCAGAGTATCTGTCTAAAAAAATTTTTACCTTGTCTTATAAAGGTCTGCAGATTTATTAAATTCTCTTTGTTTGTGCAAACATAAAGAACTTCAGTTAGGTTAGGGTTTCATTTTTATTGTCTCTCATGTTTCAGAGGAATGCTTTGCAAGCAATTTCTCCAGCCACCATGGAAGTTCTTATGAGAGTTTTGGCTGATTGTGATTCTTGGGAGGACGGCAATCCTGAAGAAGTGGGCAGAAAGGTAGAACTTACTCTGAAGTGCCTTACCGAAGTGGTACATATCCTTCTTACTAGCAGTTCTGATCAGCGTCAAGTGGAAACTAGCACTATTTTGGAGAACTATTTTAAATTACTAAATTCAGATCATTCCGCTTTACCTAATCAAAGGAGGTCCAGACAATGGGAAAGCCGGTTCATAGCGCTACAGATCAAAATGCTGAGTGAGTATTTGATAAGGTTTATTATATTCAACTTTCTCTGAGTCTTTTTTTTTCTTGGTATTCTCCACTTTCATTTAGAATACAAGGCCATTGTATAGGAAATGTTGATTGTTTAATTCAGATATTGTGTGACTATTTATATTTTGACTTTATTAATATGGAATTGATTTGTCTTTCACATCTTTGCTTTGACAATAACAAAATCGAGCCTCTATATTCTTTTTTGAAAGTTGTAATCTGCCAAAAGCAGCAATCTTAAATAGAAAATCAGCTGTGATTTTGAAATTCTAGGAGAAGTAAATTTTCAGAAAGTGCCGTTTGTAGTTTCTAATCTATGACAAAGTCACATACAATCAATTTTGTGTATGCTTCTATAACATCTCTATAGAGATCACTTCAACCTCCTGAGGGTTTCTGGTTTTTTGTTTTGTTTTAATTCCTCAGATCCTCTGTATGTGTGTCTTGTTTCTCTTTCCCTCTGTTTGTGTTGGTTGCTTTGTGATATTCTATGCTTTTCTCTCTCTCTTTGCAAGTTCCTTTACCAATATATGTGATTTCTTAAGGTATTCCTGTTAGATTGATAGATACTAATATTGTTAACTGAGAATCCCTTTTTATAGAAATAAAATATTTTCATTACAGCTCAACTAGGAAACTCAGGTAAGTAAAAGTGAAAAAGTTTTTTATATCCTACCGCCCAGACATAACCAGCATTAATGGTTTGTTGTATAGCTCTAGAGACTTAAAAAAATGTTTGTGTGGTTACGTGTGTCGTGTCCAGTTTAAAAATACTGGACATCAAAATTTTGGTGAAACTAAATGATTAATTACAGTGTTTTTGCAGGAAATAAAATTCATCTTATACATCTATTTTTTTATCTTATAACATGTCATGTTTTATAGTTACTATAAATTGCAAGTTTATAAGGAAGTTTAAGTCTTCACTGAATGGACTTCTCTTTTATTATGAACTCATATTACCTATGCCAAATTTCCCCATATTTCTGAATGGGGACATCCTTTCAGTAGGAAACAAGAACAAAACATCATCACAGATGGATTAATTACCTCAGTCTCATTTTCATGATCACCATATGTTAATTTTATGCTATATATATGAGACTATGTTGCCAAACATAACCAAGTGTTGCTTATTGATAGCAAGTTGAGAACCACATTTTATTACACTTAACCACTAAAATGGAAGAACTCCTAAGTAAATCTCTGGGAAATATATATCACTCATATACAAAAAGTTAAATATTTTTAATAATAAAGTATAAAAATGTTCACTTTTCTTATTAAGTAATAAGTATTTTGTTTTCTACTTCTTATCCCTATTATTTCCTGATTAATTTATATCAGTTTGTCAACTGAAAAGCATGAATTACATATATGACTAGAGTTAATGTTTCTGTGATGCCCAATTTTCTGCTTTGTAACTGGGCAGTTTTGTTTTTCTTTTCCTAGATACCATCACAGCCATGTTAGACTGCACGGATCGGCCGGTTCTTCAGGCCATTTTTCTTAACAGTAACTGCTTTGAACATCTCATACGACTGCTACAGAACTGCAAGGTATTTTTCTATTATTACTATTACTATTGTCTTTGATTTTAAGAAGCTATTATTTTGTTTATGTTTGGATTCTCTTTCGAGCATATTACTATAACTAAATTTTTTTCTTTTTTATTGTGGTAAAATACACATAACATAAAATTTACCATCTTAACCATTTTTAAGTATACAGTTCAGTGGTATTAAATGAATTCACATCGTCGTTGCAACCGTTACCATCATCCATTCCCTGTTACTCTTTATCTTGTAACACTGAAACTCCATATCCATTAAGCAACTCCATATTCTCCTCTCCCCTCTGCCCTTGGCAGCTACAGCTCTTTCTGTCTCTATGATTTTGACGACTCTTAAGTACCTCATTAAAGTAGAATCATAAAGAATTTGTCTTTTTGTGACTGGTTTATTTCATTTAGCATAATGTCCTCAAGATTCATCCTTCTTGTAGCATGTTGCAGATTTTCCTTCCTTTTTAAGACTGAATAATATCCCATTGTATGTACATACCACATTTTGTTTATCCACTCATCTGTTGATGGACCCTTGTTTTGATTCCACCTTTCAGTTATGGATAATGTTGCTATGAATATGAGTATACAAATATCTTTTCAAGATCCTACTTTAAATTCCTTTGGGCATGTATCTAGAAGTGGTTTGTTGGATAATGTAGTAATTAAATTTTTAATTTTTTCAG